AGAGAAACACTATCACAAATGTGTCCCAGTGGAGGCACAAGCTGCATGGAAGACTTCAAAGAATCTCCACTGCCTCAGTTTTAGGCAAGGTCAAAATTCACTGGAGGAACTCTCCTGCTTTCTTTTATATATCGGGCCTCATGAATCAGACTGGATTGCTGAACAAATTCCTCATGCAAAGCTCTCCAGATCTCATGCACATTTATGTAAAAAGCTTTATGGGATGTTACCCCACCCAACAAAAGACTGATTTCTTTACAGTTTTGATTAATGGGGAGAAAAGACCTGGAGTTTGTCTGTCACACCAACTGGCCTCTGTTTCCAATCAGCCACAAACATATCTCTATATGGAAGAATCCTCCAAACTGAGGAATGTGGTGTTGATCCCTTGGGTATCCAACAAGAGGCATATACGTTGCTTCACACGAATGCAGAGGTCTGTGTCCTGCATTGTTGGGAGAAGGACTCCTTGTGAGGATGTACTGGTCCTCATTACAAGTGATAAGAAGTAAATACTTTAGGGGTGGGGGCATCCAATAATGATGCATGTGGAGTTGACCTTTGCAGTTGAAAGAGCTGAACAAACACAACCACACACAGGAATGTTCGTACGAAAATATCAGCTGCTAGGTGGTGCCCCCCGCACGAGACGAGCCACAACACTGGTGAACGTATTGAGAAAAAGGTTATTTGATAGGTAAATGGATTAAAGGTAACATTTGCAATCCAATGCTCAACCTTCTAAAAAGGAAACTGAACTTCTTCATCATAAATGTCAAATACATCTACGATATCTGCTCTAAATGCTCAGATAAAGGTTTCATCAAAAATAATATAGTATAACAATATATGAGGCAATGGAGCTCTAAACCTCTGTTTGACCTTAACATGTGGCAGATTAAAGCCTGTCCAGGATTGTCGTGATGTTGAAAAGTAAAGCGAACTAAAGTAGACTTCCATCATGCAGCTCCTCCGCCCTTTGATCCCTTACACCCACCGAATCATCTTGTCGTTACAGCGTGACTCTTATTTGATAGATGGACCAAGGAGGAGTATCAACTGTACGGTCAGTGTGGTTTCAAAGCAGCGCAGGACATCAGAGTGGTGTAGTCATGTATGTTGCATAAGGGCACGTGGAGATCCAGGACAAAGGATGGAGGACATTTAGGCTTGATGGCTTGTTTATTTTCCACAGATCTGCGCTTTACGGTGGGGTTGTTAGAGAGCAGAGATAAATCGCCTAATGGCTTTCCTGGAATGTTCATGTAAGTTCACAGGGAGGCTAGATTAAAACTGATGTGAGCTGATAAATGAATTGGCTGTTTAGCTAAGCTGTTTTTCTCTCTACTTTGATGCTTTAATGTTCAAAGTTTCTCATATTCTATGAACGTAAACAAGCCAACACATTTCTTTCCAGCAGCAATAATAGGGTTTGTTTGATGAATTGTTGAATTATTCTACATATGATTGTAAGGGCAACAAGAGCTCTCATCTTGAAACTCTCTAAACTACAACAACCCTCACAAAGAGAAACAAACTAAAAGTCAAACAAAGCGGGCTAGCTTTCAGACTAGCCAACTCGCATGGCTAGCTCCTATAGAACTTTAGCGAGGAAGCTAACCATTAACATGCAGTTTCCCCTACTTCAGTCTTTATGCTAAGATAATTGTTTCCTTCCTGTAGTTACATACTTAAAGGTCCCATGTCATGGCCATTTCTACTGATCATAATTCCATTGTTGAGGTCTACTAGAATAGATTTACATTGTTCAATGTTCGAAAATCACATTGGTTTCTCATACAGCATCTCTGTATAGTATGTGTATTCACTCTCTGTCCTAAACGGCTTGTTGGAGCTCCTGCCCCCCCCCCTCCCTGTGAGCCCACTGTGCTCTGATTGGTCAGCTCGCCCACTCTGTTCTGATGAGTCCACCACCGTTACAGCGGAACATCAGTGATTATGTGTTACAATGGCGTTTGTTAGCAACCAGAAAATGACACCAGTAATGACAAACAGATGAGAATGCTGCGTGGGGTCTGGGTGCCGTGTTGGTGGGACGTTGCGCGGCTCGCTGCTGTGAGGAGCGGACAGTGTGAACTGGGTTACTGGTGTCACTTCCTGGTTGCTGCGTGGGGTCTGCGAGACAGCGAGACATCGCGAATGGACGCACCCCCAAACGCGGCGCACCTACAGTGTAACGCAGCGTCCACACGGCAGCGTGCGTTGAAGCTTGCCGGTGGGCGTGTCTGAAACTCGACCAACAACCAATCACATGAATCTCCCGCCCCGGACACACAAGCACGCGGTTTGATTGGCTAGAGCTTGTACTGGCATATGATTTGACTGGCTGACGCTTCCGTCGAAGCTTCAAAAGTTGAACTTTTCTCTACTTTTGAAGCGAGCAAAGCGAAGCGACGGAACCACAATGCAGTTCGGCAAAGCGTGACGTCACCCCATTCAAAGTGAATGGGAAGAAGCGTTGAAGCTTCAACGCATGCTGCCGTGTGGACGGACCGTAAGCGCGCCACAGTTTCTCCGCTGCGAGGCTCCACTGGCACCCCCCCCCAGCGCGGCACAGTTTCTCCGCTGCGAGGCTCCACTGGCACCCCCCCCCCAGCGCGTCACAGTTTCGCCGCTGAGAGAGTATGTGTGTGTGAGGAGCTCCACGGATTGGTCCATTTGGGTATGGTCACGTCACTGTACCCAGCAAGAAAAAAATGGAAAAAGATAAATCTCCAACGAGGCGTTCTGGGGCAGCATAGACAGGTATTTTCTGTGTTAGAGTTTTACTCGCTGCAGGGTGTACTTTGAGGGTTTGTGACTTTGCAGACGGTTTACATGCATAAAAACCTTCATAACACACAAGGGGACGGGTAATAACCGGAAAAGCATGACATGGGACCTTTAAAGCCCATCGGCCAATCTTCCGATATGTTTATTTTCCCGCACTTTTTTTCTATTCCTGCAGAAATTCCTGTATAAAAGTGATATTCAGGAGATTAAAGCATTATATCATTCCAATGGTCTTCATTTCTAATCCAGACACTAAATCATGCATATTCAAGGTTAGAGAAAAAAAGGGGAACAAAACCAACAACCTAAGAGCCTTGGTTCCTCGGGGGAAACCCTGCTGAGAAATGTGAGAGTTTCAGAGTGTTTCTTTATTGAAAGTCTTCATTATATATAATAACAAATAACTGTTTTGTAATTAAAACTGAGTGGAGGAAAGCTGATGGCAAAACTACAGACATAATAATTGGCTAAATTATTGCAGATTGCAGTTTCACCTTTATACAAACATTTGTCAGGGTTAGAGCTTCTCTGGAGGGAAGAATATTCAGTTTGTTGAACAGAGGGATCAAACAGACAGTTTGTTTTGTAATGAATACACTAACACGCAATTAAAAAGAGCTAAAAGAAGAGAAAGTATCTGTGACCGTCATGAATGAATGACTGGCAGTTGGACCACAAATCCTCCCATGCTGTTCAAGTTAGCTCACTTGTCTTGTAAAAAGACCAACATGGCCCCGCCCATTGTAAAAGCCTCCACTATCTGCCAAATATTAGAAGCAAACGCTGTAAAGCACATGTTCAGCACGAGCAGATCAGTTCTAGAAGTACTGCAGAGTTTTTTATATTTCTCAACATTTGGAAGCAATTTTCCAAAGGGTCTGGGAAAACCCTCACTCTGCTCAGCTTCAAGACAAACAGAAATGTGTTGCTGGCAGTGATTAAGTACTTCGCTCATTCATAAAGATCTCGGACCCAAATGACGGACCTCTGGCCTGAGGTAATTTGGTGAGAGGCCTCAGATTGTCACCACACTCGCTGTGGGACCCACTTACAGGATCAGAACCTGCAGGTCAATCAGAGGGTCTGTTTGGATGGGTTCCAGTGGGAAAGGAAGCACATGCATGTACTGTATGTATGTGTTGATGGCGAAGGAATTGAACTATGAAGTAACCATATCACAGTTACACACTGTCTGTAGGGGTCATAGGTGGACAATGTGCTGCATTTGTTAAATCAACATGAGACAACTGACCCTAAGAGGCAACGTCTTCCTCGCATCGACTCAATGGTGGATCAATGGAATAACTATAATTCTTTACATACTGTAGGTACAATTTAGAAATACTTTTACTAGTGTTTTAATTAAATGCTACATTAACTACAATTTGGGAGGAAGTAATGTACTTTTTTACTCCACTACAAAAGACACATTCTTAGCCTTGAGAGTTTTACCCGTTTTGTTTTTTTTCAAATTTGTTTTCAAATGTATTAGCTGTCTATCTACAGATAATCTTTCAGGTTCATCAAGGGTTAGGTTTAGGGTTAGGTAGTAGTAAATAAAAGGTAACAAGGAACATGGTGAATGGTAACATTGTTAATCTAAATCAAATGTCTTCATAAAGGGGAGTCAACACTGGAACACATTACTAACTAAATCAAATCAATTTCTAGATATAAAACATCTGAAACTATCAGTCATAGTCATTTAATATGCACTTTAGTATTATTTATGGGGTTGTATTGCTACTTTCCACTTGAGTAATGTGTTTGAAAAAGTGTTTAATATCAAGGGTCTCAAGTCTTTTGCACAAAGAAAGAGGAACTGCGGATAAAAGAAGAATACAAAAAAAAAAGAAAAAGATTAGTGAGGGTTGCTATTATTTTTAGAGATGTTTTACATGTTTTAAAGACTTTTATGTTACTAATAGAGAAATGCTCCAGTCCCAACATTTAAGTTAAAGTAAATATATCAACAAACAAAACGTTGACAGTGAGAAATGAGTAGGAAGGAGCAGTCATTAAGTATTTTTGCTCATGTCCGCTCACTGGCAGAGTGTCATTATATTTGTGTTTTGTTTCGTCCCCTCTGACGTCCACAGAGGAAACCCATCCCCTTGTGCAAAGTGCACGAGGGGGGTGTTCACCACCCAGGCCCCAGGCTTCTGCCCTGTCATTGGTCACTACAAAACCTACATCAGTTTAAAACCAGACACCACTTTCTTCCCTCCCTTCACACAGCACAACCCCTAAAAAAGGCAGATAGTGAGGGACACCAGAGTTGGTCTCAGGATGCCGGCGTACGCCACCAACATGAGGATGAAGTTCCCCATCGTGGCCTTGGTTTTGGAGATTATCACCATCATCCTGTTTGCAGTGTTTGTGGTCTATGATGATGGGAAAAGTGATGACCACCATGACAAAGCCTCCAACAAGAGTGACCATAAGGAGCCAATGCCAATGGATCTCTACCCCAGTAAGTTTACCTGGGGGCGCTGAGGGATGCTCTGCTACTGATGCCTCAATGTTTGGTCACTAGCTTCTTTTAAGGAGGTTAAAAATAATAGATTATGATGTTTTATCTAACGGTTTTGGCTTTGTTGCAGTTTTGATGTTAACAGAGAAACAATCCCCTCAACAATGAGGGCTCATCCTGGGTGATTTTCCTTTGCATATGACAAAAAAGTCAGATTAAGAAGCATTAGTGGAAATCCTGAAACTAATTTTATTTCAATTTTTTCATTTAGAAATAAATAAATCTACAAATCCTCCACATTTCACAGCTTTGCTACTCCAGTGTTGAACTTTGAAGTGTTCACTGCACTGAACTCTTTCATGGCATTTCAGTTTTAAAGATGTACTTTTCCAATTACCTGCAAACAGAAATAGAATAATTTGGAGGCTGTTTGCAGGTCTGCTGAATGCAATAAGAGGAGTCATGGGGTCACATTCTCATCCGTTACATCTATTCATATCCTTGCAGCTGAGGAGTCAAAGAGGGTCCCGCAGGGAGACGTGTCAGGTCTCAAGCAGTGGGACCACATGTGATTTAAATCAACATGTCTTGCAGATAATAAAGAACAAAGGCAGATGGTCAAGAGGGCAGAAAAAAAGCTCTGTATTTGATTAAACGTATTGAGTGCTCTCTGCAGTTCAGTAGTTTTCTTTGCATATTGACAACGTATCTGCATTAAGATAACTGCAATAACAAAACTGTTGTGCCGCATGAAAGTCTGCTCAAGATAGGGCGGGGCAGGTGTGACCCAGAGATTAGCTGGACATATATTCTTATTCAGATAGAATATGTCTAGCAATATAGTCTTCTCCAGAATTTCATTATAGTTTTTTCGGTTTCTTTTTTGACCCTTTATCACACTTACGTACTCTGCTTTGAATAAGAATGTATTTCTGATAGGGTTTTTCAATAAAAAGGTTGATTTTGTTCTTAGAAAGACATCCTTTACCCTCATTGAATCATCCATTCCTTAAAGTGCAAATATGTTTTAGTGAGGTTTAAGTCTCATTAGTAATGCAGCATATGTCCACATTACACTTGTTAAGTCACACATTTGACCAGGAATTACCTCCAAGTTGTTATATAACAATCTAATGAGTTCCAGTGTAAAAAACACAAAACATAGTGTCATAGTCACTCTGCACAGACATATAGAACCAAAAAAAAAAGTGTATCTACATGTGCCAACAATCCAAAACTGCCATCTTTAGATATGATAAATCTACAAACGGATTTAAAAATGCCAAGAATCAAGTACTGCCATTGTGTTATGTGAGCCATGACCATTTGAAACAGATTGGATAACATAAATGCTTGTGCTTGCGTGCAGAGATCCGCTATCCAACGCATGCCAGACATCTGCAGTTAAAGGATCAAAGGAAGGCGAATGAGCACGGAAAAGCTACCATGGATCAAAATCAATGCACTTTTATAATAATGTTAAGACAATTTCTGGTTGTACTGTTGATGAAACACTGCATATGTTTGTAATTAAGACCCTAAAAAAGCAATTGTATTTTAATCAGGAGCTAGCTTTAAGAATGAAAACATCAGAGAAGAGGAAATGGGTTGCTTTTGGCATAAAATAATAATGATATGAGCTTATTAATAATAACTTATATTGCACTGTTTGCGTCACTGCTCTACAGTCTGCACTACAGTACGTCCTTAGGGGATCTTGGCTGAGAAGATTACTAAGCGTTACCGAACATCTGGGCGTGGTGCCAGTTAATATGGCTGCTTTCCAACTTTACCTCCTCCCCATCCTCAAGATTCTGTTCACTAGAAGCCCCTACTACAAAAAACAAGTATGTGTCACCCAGCTGGGGGGGGGGGGGGGGGCAAAGTGCAAGTTGGAGGGGCAAACAGCTCAGTGGCTGTGAGCCAAATCAATATTTACACTTTTATCAGCTCAGTGTTCAAAATGCTGACCATGTGTTTTGCGGCACTACACACTAAACAAGAGGATTTTTCAAGCTGATCATTTACACAAATGTCACGATTGTTTGGTTAAATATGACAAACTCTTTAGAGATTATATGACACTTAAAGCCACAACATTTTGCCCAACATGAAATGAGCAGAATGGCTTTTTAAAATAATGATTATCCACTGTTTTTGATTGATCCAACTTGAGTCAATTGGATTAATTATTTACTGAGCAGTGGAGAATGTAAATGATAATAAAATGGTAGTAGCACACTGTTTTGGATTGTTATTAGTTGTATTTAAGTAAATTAGGGTGCTCAATGTATTAATACAAATAGTTATCTGTTTAAACTACTCATTAATCCCACTTTTTTTTTAAATTGCATGTCGAGCAGCAAGGCAACCGCTCTGACTGAGTAGATTTGAGCAGCTCTGTTTGTATCAGATAAGTTAATGATTAAAGCAGCCGTGACTATAACATCTGTTTTAGTATTCTGTGTTTTGAACATGTCTAGAAAAAACCCAGTTAAACTCTTCACAGTTGCAGCCTCAGATACTGCCTCACTAAGGAGATGAAAGGGGTTTTCACCTGGACATGTTTAAATGTGCTGGAATACTCCAATTGTCCTTTTCAACAATTGCAAAATATAATTTTGTAATATAAACCTACAGCCAGCTGTTGGTTGGCTTAGCACAAAAGCTACAGCTAGCTTTTCTCTGCCCCCACGTAGAAAAAAGATCTTGTTTTTTAAACGATAAAATTGTGGTTTTTCAGGGGTTTTGTACCAATCTATTCGTTTACTAGGGTCCATGTCTTCATTGTCCCTGCTGGTTGCCTTAAAACACAATAGCGACTACAAGATTGGTTGGTGATGCTTTCCAGTCAGCTCTCATTGGCTATTGCAAGTAATTGCTCAATATTTAATTGCAGTCCCTTTTGCAAAACAGGATATGAAGTTGTAAATATCATTTAAAAGCTGAACTTATGCACCCCAGAGAGCTCAACTGGTGCTTATGAGAAGGGTCAACTCAGGACTTCAGGACAGCCTCATTTCGGAACCCAACCTCAATTCTTGGGAAGGGCGGATCGGACCGAGGAATCCACCCAATTATCCTCTGGAGGTGCAAGCATTAGTATGTCCTGTCGAGACAATAGTGGCCACCTTTATGATCATTACTCACTGAGGAAATGAAGCACATTGTTCCTCAGCCTGCACTCACCTCCACCTTGATGCATTTTCCATACGGGGGGGCTCATCATATCAAACTCAAAGGCTCCTGGGGGTCCTTCAGAAATCCGCCCGAAATGACATGGCCTTAAAGATTTATTGAGTATCTCCTCTTGGCCTTTTGTTTGTCCTCATTGCTGAGTATATAGTGAAAACAACATGCACTGCTAATAAAATATGGGATGTGATTCCAAACCCTGCCGTCTTTGTCCGACTATCAAACGAGAGTAATAGATAAGCGTGTGCTAAACATTTAAGATCATATGCACTTAATATAAAACAGTACAAGGCCACAAACACAACATTAAACAGCAGGAGCGTTTCCCAGAATCCCATTCACTGTCTTATTGAATTTCTTTCCAAGTTAACGGGTCACGGCCAACAATACAGCCAGTGTTAAAGGAAATGACTCCCGTGAAGTCCAGTAACTGCTCAACTAATCATTTGAACTACAAAATCGAAAGAACACCACCATGTAAAGCGAATTCTTGGGTAATTTGAAAGTGTAGGCATTGACGATAAAAGTGTTGATTTAATTTCAAGGCTGAAGGGGGACTCTTGAACAAAGCAGGGTCCTGTCATTCAATCAGCAGCAGAACTGACCTCTCTTCTCATGTCTCCAGTGTTTCAGGATGTCCACGTCATGATCTTCATCGGCTTCGGGTTCCTGATGACATTCCTGAAGAGATACGGTTTCAGCAGCGTGGGCATCAACCTCCTGCTGGCTGCCTTCGGCCTGCAGTGGGGCCTCCTCATGCAGGGCTTCTGGCACATGACCGACGGCAAGATCAAAATCAGCATCTTCAAGTACGAAAGGCTTTTTCTGCACCCTAATGGACACCAGTTAACCCCATTATTAACATGTGATGCAGATGATATCGATCACAAAGTAATTAGCTGCTAAATAGATCATTACGCAAGCGATTATGATTCTGTAAATGATAAAGGTTTTTTTGTTGGTCTGTGGATATTTCTCGTATATAAGCAGTTATATAAAGTATATAATGATCCTGCAGAGATGTATTGGCCTTCATTATGTATGAACAGACTAAAAGGCAATTTCTTTGATTGGTAAAGATTCTCGTAAAAAAAACAATAATCACTTTATCATTCAAATGTATTTTTCAGAAGAAATTTGAATAATGATTCAAAATGATCTTACACCCCAACATGAAAATGACACTATAAGCCAAAAATAACCCCAATTAATCACTTTTCCAACAAGTTAATCTCGACTAAAGACTTGTTGTGTTCTCCATTCTGCAGATTAATCAACGCAGACTTCAGCACAGCTACAGTTCTGATCTCTTTTGGAGCCGTTCTGGGTAAAACCAGCCCTGTGCAGCTCCTCATCATGACCATCCTGGAGATCACCATCTTCTCCATCAATGAGCATCTAGTGGCAGAAGTCTTCGAAGTAAGTACACAATGACACATACATGTGTGTTTGAACTACATGAGCAAACCATAGCATTCATTCCTACATTATAACAACAAGCAACATTCACTGTGTAAACTGGATTTTATTGAACTTTATCAACCTTTCTTCCACAGGCTAATGATGTTGGAGCATCCATGATCATCCACGCTTATGGAGCCTACTTTGGCCTGGCAGTGGCTCGCGTACTTTACCGACCTGGTCTTAAAAACGGACATGACAACGAGGGATCCGTTTATCACTCTGATATGTTTGCTATGATTGGTAAGAGCCACTTACAATTTGCATCTTGCGCTTTACTCAAACTAATTTAATAGAGTCGTTTGTTTACGAGAGTGATGTGTTTTATGTGGCTCTAATTTTCTCTCACTGCTTCATCACTGGCCTCCTGCACATATAAGACGTATGCCACCTAGTGGACACAAATAACATTGCAGCAAAAACTGATGAATGAAAGCTGACCTCAGATGTGTATCAAACGCAGAGAATAATTCATTTGAAAGTTCCTTACTTGAAGTGTGAATTGATAATAAGAATTGTAAAAGTACCTGATATAAATGCAGTTTCTTTATCCCACTCGTCTACAGGAACCGTCTTCCTGTGGATGTTCTGGCCCAGTTTTAACTCGGCCATCGCTGAGCCGGGCTACGCTCAGCTCACAGCCGTGATCAACACGTACCTCTCCCTGGCCGCCTGTGTGCTCTCTGCGTACGCCGTCTCCAGCCTGGTGGAGCACAAAGGAAAACTGGACATGGTCAGATAGCTCTGATTTCCACAATATTACAATTCAAGAAGTCAAAATAAATGTAGTTATAAACTTGTTTTTATGTCTTTCTGTACTACAGGTGCACATTCAGAACGCCACTTTGGCTGGTGGCGTTGCCGTGGGAACATGTGCTGACATGAACATCGGGCCATTTGGGGCCATGCTGATTGGATTTGTGGCTGGCATCGTCTCTACCCTGGGCTTCAAGTACCTCACTGTGAGTGGAGAGTAAAAGCCAAGCAAGGAAAAAAAGGCAGATTTTGAATTTATGGTGTAAACCAAAGATATATTTGTTGTGCTGTGATGGGCTTTGTATTTAATGTATTGTTATTGAGTTAGTCCAGAAAAATTAAGAAAATAATAGCTAGACTAAAAGATAATAAATATACTCATTGCAAAGCACAATATAATTTTTCATTTGATTGTCAAGATTTATCGATTTCTTGATGGAATCCTACATTTTTCCATATGATGAAAGCTCATGCTGTTTCATTTAAATCAGAATACTTCACCTTTCAAAAACATACTCCTTTGTATTCAACAAGAGATCTTATCCCCTCTGCAGCCCATCCTGTCGTCCCACCTGAGAATCCAGGACACGTGCGGGGTCCACAATCTGCACGGCATGCCCGGCATCCTGGGCGGGTTGGCTGGCATTGTGGCTGTGGCTCTGGGGAAGAAAGAGGGGTAAGGACCATTGTACTCACCACTAATCCTTCATATACCAATAAGAATATATATATTAACATGTGACTATATTGTAGTTTTGAAGTAATGTTATGATTCAGTTAAATGTCAGCTGTCTCCCCTCCTCCTTCTCCTCCTCCTCTTCAGAGGTAGTGTTCTCATGCAAGGTGCTGCCTTGGCTTCGTCCCTAGGGTTCGCTTTGTTTGGAGGTGCAATTACAGGTAGGTGGAGGAGATGAAACGTGAGATGTGACAGAACACTTTCATTCATGAGGGCAGAGTTGTTATGATCTAGCAAAAATCCTGAGTGATCAAACAATTATTTTTCTTTTTCAAGGTTTTATAATGAAGCTGCCATTCTGGGGCCAGCCTCCAGACCAGAACTGCTACGATGACTCTCTTTACTGGGAGGTAAGGAATCCCACTCCTCATGAATAATATCTGTAGTGTCTGACTGTCAAGCATCACAAGTAAAGGTGGCAGTACCCTAATATTTTTTAAGTTATTAAATGAGATGGATTGTATCATCATAATGTGTTTATCAGACCGACATGTTTTGATTCATGGAAAACAGTTCTTCCTGTATTAATTCCATCCATCTGCTACTGCTTGCCTTAGCCTCTGCTAGTATACGACACCCAGGTGGTAAAGCATGTAAGACAATAGTTAGGTTTCTTTCAATATGCTCCGAAAAAATAATTTGGACTTGATGTTTTCCAGGTTCCTGCGGAGGAGGAGGAGAACGAGGAGAGCTTGGCTCACACCGATCACTCGAAGAACAAAGCAGAGGTTTAAAAATCTGCTTTCTGTCCCCTGAGCTAGAAACTAAGAAGTAAAGGTTCAATAATCAGCTACACCATGTCAACAGATGTCAATTTGTCAATTATGAATGTGATTACATGCATTCAAGAAATTCGACGATTTGCTCAACGAACCGACAAGTCAATTTGAAACTGTTTTATGAGCAAAGATATTTCCAGCAGTGTGAGTTTAAAATTGTAATAAGATTAAGCAGTGAACTTTTTACACAATATTTTGAACTTTCTAAAAATTGTTGACATAAATATTTGGTTAATCCCATTGACACTAAGACAAAACATTTCAATAATTTGAAACAGGGAACTTCAGGGATTTCTTTTACACTGAATTTAAAACTACAGTGGACCACCTCATTCACTGCTGATACACTTCCATAAACTTTTTGTTTATTTCATTTTATATTATCAAAAGCATGTTTTTTTAAGATATTAGTATAGTGTGTATTTCTTTTCATACATTCTTTTATTTTTCCAAACACTTGGCGCATGTGTTTCTGCTGAGGCTGAGGTCAGAGAGAGGAGTTACAGCTCTTCTGACCTGCGGCCTCACGTCACCTCACTGGAGCCCGGCCCTTCTGCAGGAGTCAGTCAGTCTGTGTGAACCAGCAGCTCTGACACGGGCAGGGATAGTCGCATTATATGTTGTAACTAATGAACTTATCTCCCGCTGCGTACGATCATTTTCTATCTATGTGTTGGCAGCTGTACAATTTCTTTAATGCATGGAGTATGAATGTATTTAGCATTAAATTGGTTGTTACTGGGCAAGCTAAAGTTCCTTTTTTGTCTACTTTCTATTTACATCCAATGTATTCTTCTTACATGTACATACAGTTAGCTTTTAGACGGATTGACATGGTCAGTTTTATCAAAGTCCTGCATTGTTGTAAAAGAGCAACTGGTACTGAATATTTTTCAGATGCCTTTAAAAGAATTCAACAGGAACTTACACATTAAAAATAAAAAAAGTCTGACATTAAAACAAGGTGCAAATGTGAAGATGAATACACTTTTTTACAATTTTGGGTGTTCAGCTATATTCTTTTCTTCTGTTTTTCTTGCGGTGAGTTACTGTTGGAATCATTTAAAATGAATAACTGCAGGGCTAGATAAAACTGACTACACATACAGTAGTGTTAATCAATATTTTGGTTTGTCAAACGATGTATGATGCCCAGAACACTGAAACACATCACATTTTGTATTTTTATACAGTGGGCATGTGCTCTTATTTGTATAATATACTAATACTGTCATAATAAATATGTTTTTGTACAATACCAGTGTTTATGTGTTTTTGTGGAAGTAAACTTGCAAATATTTATGGATATGAAATGTCCATTAAGGTATTTGCATAAATTAAAAAGTGGACTATAATCCATAGAAGTGTGTCCTACTTGTCCCGTGTAGTCAATAATACAATGCTGCATTGATTTGAAGTCAGTGGGTCACACGACATGGAAGATAATGCAAATAACTGAAATAATGTTCCATTAAAATATTTTTTGTAAAATCAATTCATGACATGATATCAGTAACAAGATAATGTGTTTCATATAATACACATTTATTATATTTTTAAATGCATAATGCTTATTAATATTAGCAAGTTAGACTGGATATATTAAAAATTACATTGGTTTTGTGCATAGACTTTGTGTCTATTCAAAAGGTCATTTATTTATCCATTGGACACCATGATAAACTTAGGCTACTTTAAACGTTAGCAGGATTTTAGCTTGTAGCCCACCATATTTATATCAATTAGGGTCGACACTGAAAACACACATACCATGAAGTTGAAACTCAAAAACAAATCGCGAACATTTCGAATATATATTGTAATTTTACAAGATGCTTTGTTGGATATTGCGCAACTTTATATTCAGCTAAGCTAAATTAGGTGTAACGTTAAAGTTAGCATAATAAAGAAACAGCAGTAACGTAAATCATTATAATACGTTACTATAGAAAGTGAAGAAGCATGGTATTTGAACTTCGTCTTCTGTAGTTCTTAGTTTATATGTAAGCAGCTACAAATTGAATGTCCTAATTAGAAATATGTTATGTTAGTTTAATTACAACTTTAACTCACCTGTTTGATATACACACTGCTACGTGCTGTTCCTCTCCTCGCCGCTAGGGGGCACTGTTCTGCTCTCGGCCGTTTACGCTCCCATGTTTTGAACGTACGAGCAGCGGTGCATTATGGGTTACAAAATGTCTCCTAAGAGTGCTGGCTAATGCTAATTTACGAAAGGTTCTGGCAACTAAATGTATATTTCTACCCTTTTTTACAGCGGTTATAGTGGCAGTACATATATCCCTGATATAGTAACTGTATTCTGCTGCCGCCATGGTGAGTATAGAACCTCATTTCTCCCCAGCATTATATTATTTAATAGCTCAAAGCGCATTTTAGCTTTAGCATAGTAGCCCGGTTTAGCACAACAGAAAGGACATTAAATAACTAAACATGTGTTGAGTCCGTGAACAGAAGTGTCTTACCTAGTTTTATTTTTCAGGGTTATCTATTCCAGACGGTTAGTTAGAACTCTGCATTGTGTTACTTAGTAAGTTAGAGCCTTCTTCCGGAAACGCTGATCGGAGTTCAATATGATAAATCTGTCTCCTGTCACATCATGACCTCAATCACAATGAAATACACTTTTCATAAGTATTTGTCTTTTTTTTTCAGTCAACGAGAACGGAGTCCAGGGTGTCCAGCTCGAGCTCCAGAACAGATGAACGGAGGAGATCAAGGAGCACAGGCACGACCGCTTAATAATAATAATTATATTCAAATATCAGTCATTAGGGTCCTATACTCTGGGATTCTCTTTTACATGAACCAAGCTTCACAACCTGTATTTTAAAGAAGCCTAATTTCCTTCACAACCATTATTTAGGATTGAAATATCTATTAACTTTTATTTGAAAATCTGTGTAGTTAGTATTATGATTAATCATCTTAATAATCTCATTGGTGCATCATGTCACAGTTGGTTGTTCATCCACAAAGTCTTTGGGTTACTAGTTTTTCAAATGTCTTGCCTTTTGAAAGAATTGTGTATTATTAAGTGTCATCTTCGAATACAAAGAAAAGTAAATCTTTGTCTTTCTGTTAATTCAGGTCGGGAAAAAACGAAGCGTAAACGCAGCCGCAGTAGGTCGTCCTCCTCGTCTTCTTCCAGTTCATCATCCTCATCTTCATCCTCATCATCCTCTTCTTCATCGGGTTCATCACACTCATCCAGCAACAGTCGGAGTAGCTCGAGCAGCAGCGGTAAGACTTCATCTTCAAAGTCTGCAGCACATGCAGGAATCTTTGTCTGTTTTTTTTGTGTTGAATTGTTTTTATGAACTGTGTGCTTTGTTAATTTACATGTTAAATCTATGTTATCATAATAACTGTACTAATATTCATTTATTATTTCAATGTGTTTTGTTGTTTTTAGACTCCCGTAGTAAATCCAGAAAGCAGACTAAGAAAAGGAAAAAGGAGAAAAAACCCAAAAAAGTAATCTTTGACATTTTATCTCATTTTATAAAACTGACAACCGGTTTCATTTAAAAGTGACTGAGGTGTTTTATAACCGACCATGACTCTGACTTAAATCCAACGTATTGTCTATCCTGCAGCAGAAAGCAAAGAAAGAAAAGCGACACAAACGTAAAAAAGACAAGAAAACGACAAAAGAAGAAGAAATCGCGGGACCTGTTCAAATATCCAAGGTAACTGCCCGTAAAGGTCCCATCATTTTCTTCCTGTGTCCCCAAAAAATATGGAAGTTTGCCCAAACATACTCCAAATCTCACCAAACCCCATAAGATCTTATTCTATTTTCTGTATACCTGAAAGCAATTTAATTGGACAGTGTGTTTTTTTTATTGTTTTGCAAGTTTTCCTAGCTCTAACCGCTGCTACTATGATCTTCTTATAGCTAGTGACATTTGCTCTCACAGGCAAGTTTTGTCATTCAACTTATCACTTTTGTAATCTAGTACCCTTACACTTACATGTGTTTTCCTTTCAGTACTTGAAAGACAAGAAAAAGGGCAAGTACAGCATGATTTCAGGGAAGAAGATCAAGATGAAAGTAAAGAAGACAAAGAAAGACAAACAGGTAATCTCTACTTTTCACTGTCAAGTAAGTGATCAAGTGTTTCTTGATAGTTTGTGAACTGATTTTAAACTTTTTTTTGTTGAAATGAAGCAAGATAAAAATCGAGCAGAACTTCTGGACTTCTTGAACTCGACCGTGTGATGGCGCTATGGACAGTAGTCGTGGTGCTCGGGCTCGGAAACCTCTGCAGAACTCAGGAAACGACAATTTGGAGAACAACAATGAAGAGTTCTCTGAGAAAGAAACAATGAGTACGACTTGCAGCAGCGAGCCTGACAGGGCGAATGTGAAGACCCCTAGCTTCCTTTTTCACAGGGCACTTCCCAGGTGGCCAATCCTTCAGCTTAGTCTGATAGCTTTTTGTGATATGAAAAGTGTTTATGTTTAGCAGTGTCATCCAAAATGGTGTCTGTAACCAAGCTTTGGTCGTTTGGTCACCTCCGATTTAGCATTACCTTCCGAAAACATGGTCGCTCTCGTAATGGACCAGAGATATTGTCTTTTTTATTTCTCGCATTTCTCTTCCTTGTCTAAATAGACACCTACATTACCCACAATGCAACTCTCCTGCCGACAGTTTGGCTGGAAATTGGGGAATGCTATGCTAGTGATGAGGAGTAGGCTACACAGGTCTGGTAAGCTCACTTTTCAACTCCGCACCCCAGATTATAAACGTTTCAACTTCCCCTTTTAAAATGTTTGTTTTAACTTCCTGACTCTGTCAATCACTTATGTCCACATTACCACATGTAGGATTGCCCATACATTTATTAATTTCTGTAGATATTAAAACCGTTATGTTTCCAAATAAATGTTGGCTGTGTGAGCAAAAGTGTTATCAGTGTTCACTGATATTTAATATGTACATTTTGTTTAAAAATGATTGGAGAATTGATTCTGTGATTTGATGGTAACTGTTTTAGTATTACTGTCTTCCTCATTTCCCCCATATTCTGTCATGAATATTTTTCAACATCAGACATTTATTAAATTGAAATATAAAATACTACGACCCCTCGAGTCCACCTGTATCAATACAGGTGGAAGCTTTGATTGGAAGATGGAGTAAACCTATTGTGTACTGTTGAATTTTGATGCGTGACAAACAGAAAAGAAACGGCAATAAACGGCTGGAAAGATTTTACTTTTTAGTAACACTTAGTGATCATTTATTTGAGTATTTTTATTTTAAGCCCTGTTGCAGGTGAAGAACAGAAGAAAAGCTTTCAGTTTGCTGACCTTGAATGATGAAGTATTGTGCCGAGTCTTTGAGTGCTGTTGGGGAAGAAAACAGTGAGCAGTCTGTAAAGGGAGAGCATGACTCAGCCTCTGAATGACGTTAATGTTGAGCATTGACTTTTAGCAGTCATTTGTTATGTACATACAATTCATACAGAAATCTCAAGCAACATACATTCGGACAGAACAGACCATTCACCTCTGCAGCCATGTAGTGTTGTGTGACATAAAACAACATTTTTAATAAGCTCCTGAAACATGTATGAGACAAGAAAGCCTTTAAATGACATTTAAATTGAATACATATTCCTATTCGGCCTGCACGAAATAGCTCTCAATTTATACTAAATATAAAACGCATCACCGTAGGAGCTGATTATTTTACACTGAGTTATAACGGTTTCAAGTGAAGTCGAGTTGCAGAGAATCTGAGAAAAACACGACTCTTTAATGTGTGAACTGATGAAATGGTGATTGGTGTCATACTGCAAAGACAGGGAGAATTGTGGGAATTATCCTGCCTCGCTTGGTGCAAAGTGAACATCAACATCTGTCCCACTGAAGCGTCCCACCACCACCACTGTCCTGTGAACGCCTCAGACGACCTTACTGCTGCTGCTGCTTCCTTTGTATCTGAAGTCAGGCATGCTCCACGTCCTCTGCGCTCGCTCCACGTCCTCTGACACCGTCTTCAGGTCGCTCAGCCCCGTCCCGTCGGCCACGGAGGAGGTCAGGCCCACGGTGCTGCCGAACGGGTTGATCTTGATGCGGGACCTGAAGTTCATGAGGGACATGCTCACGGCGCGCTTGTTGTTCCACTGGTTGGAAAGCCGCTGCGCCTCCTGCTCCTCTTTCAGTTCGTCCAGAGTCTCCAGGAGGACGGAGCGAAACAGGCCGGACACCTCCTGCACGTCGGGCTCATTGGCCTGCATGGCCTCCCTGAACCTGGGCAGGACAAAACACACGCTGCTGGTTGATGGAGGGTCAAATTGTCAGTTTAATGTTACCTATAATAAAGACCTGATAATAGACTGTTGTGTGTAAAACTAGAACTTAACAGCACCTGAAAATCTAGTTTTTTCTCTGACCTTTCTACAGTGAAGTACTATTCAAGATATTGCACATTACTGTTAGATTGTGTTAAAAGGTGCAACCAAACACAATTTGAATCGCACTCGCAGATATACATCAGTATGATCAGAGTTGAAACAAAGAGTACAATATTATTGTTCAGCCTTGTTAAGTTAACCTTGCTAAATCTTTTTTTGTCCACTGATTGGCAGCCGAAAAAAGCTGTAAATTATTTGACCAGTACAAAAAATATATAAGCACAAATCCATTTAATAACAATCAGTCTCTCTCACTCCATGTCCACTTGAACTAACTGACACGGCCGTGGGCAGCTGCAATCAACAATGGATGCAAACTGAAAAACGTTTTGGTTCATTTTATGGAGCAGAGGCCTAAAAGCAGGACTAAAGCCCTGTTACAACATCTTTGTACAGGTGATAATTAGGGTTAAGTAATCCGATTTCATTAATTTAGGAACCCCATATACATTCAATCTCGTTTTACTTTCCACCCTCTCTCTTCCTGGAAATTCTGGCAGCGGGAAGAAGTACTCAAACTTATTTCCTCAAGTAAAACTAATAAAAGCCTATACCGAATGATAAAAGTCCAGGGTTGAAAATGTTTAATACAAAAGTGAAGCAGTATCAGCACAATGTAGTCTTCTTATATGTTCTGTTAAAAGGATAGAACATCACATGAAGACAATGCACGACAACAAGGTCTTGAATATCAATATATTTTAAAGATCGGTTTAATTTCTAGCAGAATAAACCACTGCAGGTGAATTGAAGAAAGAACCTCAAGGTTGGAATGTTATGTACCAGAGTTTTATTCTGACCTTTAGACCACCACAACATGATTCAAATGATGGCAAATGTTCTAAAAGGCAACCTGGATCACAGTCATCACCCCCACCTGAGTGACCAGCACACTCTTACTAACCACCCAATTACCCCCCCTCTTCCTCCTCCTCTTCTTCTCCTGAGCCATAACAAGCCTTTAAATAGACGGCTGTCTTTGGACTTGCTGTCCAGAAAGTGCTTCAGGTTAACTGATGATTGGCCTGCTGCACTGTGTACTAATGTTAGCTCTGAAGACACTTTCAGGGGCCACATTTAGATTTATTATACTTTAAAGTGAATCATTAAAATGTTAGCAATGGTAGGGAAACATGGCACAAAGGTACAATTTATGATTTAATTGATTATATTTAATGTCAACATAGAAAATACAGGACTAAAACCTGCTGTCAGTCTCTGGATAATAGACCGTATGACCTTAAGTAGAGGATTAACATTAGAATAGACTGGATCGAACTTATTGATTGACCATGAAAGGTCATCAGCAAACAATGATGAGCCTACAAATCTTTGTTGCCAGTTTTTAATCTTTTTAATATATTACTCAAAGTTGCATTACTGCTTTTACTTGGAAATGTAAACCTTCTATACAGCATCAGGCACATCAGTATAGCTGAGTGTAAGCTGTCATTTAAGGTCCAATTACTAGCTTTTCCTGGAGCTTTTTACTTCATCCCTACGAATAATTTTTGACCATTATTTATTTTCTTAAAATAGTTGTCACAGAAGAAGAGCACAATAAAAACTACTCAGAATAAGAGAAAGCTTTCAGCCGAAATCCCTATAACCCTCCCACTTTTCTCTTAATTCATTCTCCCATTCTTAATCACTCGTTTATTATTATCTAAAATACCAACTATCATCAACTTATGTGTGTACTTTGTGGAAGTTAATTCCAGATACAGAGTGAGAGATTTTAAGGACAGGATGGCATTTGGGAAAACCCAGATGTACCTCATGTAGTGTCAGAGAAAGCGTTTGGTTAATTACTTCAACAGAGGACTCCCCTGTGCAGTCTCACTGTGTGTGTGTGTGTGTGTGTGTGTGTGTGTGTGTGTGTGTGTGTGTGTGTGTGTGTGTGTGTGTGTGTGTGTGTGTGACACTTCCACTCAGCGTTTAGCACCTCGCTGCTCACTCAGAGTAAATCTGCTTCTCAAAAACCTGCCAACCTCTAACAAGACACCTGAGACTCGGCAGCTTTCTGTGAACAGATGCTCCTACAAGCTCAGGACATCTTTGTTGCAAATTATAGAACAGAGATATTAAAAAAATAGGGACCACAGAGAAGTTTCATGGATTTTAGAGGACCGTTTGGATTTCAGCCACAATGAATAACCCTTAAGAAAAGCTCTGATGTAATAGAGGACAAAACGTTCTGTGTAAAAAAACTGACATAAAATTAGATAATATATTGACGTTATTTTTCTCTTTCATTGAGTTTATTATTTTAAATAACTTTAGTCCTGGTCATGAATACCTAATATTGTTTTTACCCTTTAAGTGCCAGTTTGTTCACATAATGCCACTTGAATAATGATTTGAATAATTGTCTGTAAACTAAATTCCACAAGTATTTATTTCAGTCGAGGATTTGTCCTAGTGCTCCCTCATACAGAAACAACAACCCTAGTTAAAACAAGTTAAATAGCAAGCATGTATTTGCCCCATAGAACTGACATGGGAAAATTCAATAATACAAACTACAACTCTGAAGGCCTGGCTCTGGATTGAATATACTGAAATAATGAAATGGATGATTGTATGCTTGAGTGGCTGGGGATCAAAATCTGGGGGTTTCAATTTGGTCATTGTGTGTATTTTGTCTACACAGTTTAATATAGTTAAACAATTATATGCTTTTGATCTAATTTGGGGAGGCTGTGGTTCAGGGATAAATGGTGTCTTTCAATCTGGGGTCAGTGGTTCAATCCCGTAGACATGTCCACTGTATTAAAGGTCCCCTATTTTACAGTTTTTCATTACTTTATTATAGGTCTCAGATATATACAAAACATGTCTCTGAAGTGTTTGGCTTGAAATACCAAACAGATCATTGCAGCATCCCATAATCCCCTCTGTTTCAGCCCTGTTTCAAAAGTGCTGATTCTGTGTCTGTTACTTTAGATGAAAATAAGGAGCCCCTCCCCACGCCCCTCTGAGGGATATTTGGTTACAAAGAACACAATGGTGCTCTAGGAGGAGATTCAGGTGATAAGGTGGGGGGGTGTTACCTTGGTTGGTGATTGGCTAATGGTTACACGAGACAAAAAATCGTTATGACATCATAAAGTGGCCAAAATCTGATCAGCTCATTTTCAGACAGGTTTTTATATCAGGACAAAAAGAGAGCGAATCTTTTTTCCTGAAACTTTCAGGATCTCTTTCCACAGAGGGGACACATGTTATACAAGACATGAAAAAGTGGATTTTGCATAATAGGTGACCTTTAAAGTGTATTCAAGTCACTTTGGATGACAGCTTCAGCTAAAATGAATCCTGATATTTCTTAGTTAATTTCTTAATTATGAGTTGGCCACCCTGTTATAATAATGAAGCTACAGTTGTGCCTCCTTACTTGAGTATGACCAGGCCGCAGTAGGGGGGGGGCACCCTGCAGCAGAGCTCCTCCAGGCCGAAGCTCTCCCCGGGGCTGATGTTGAAGGAGCAGCGGGGCGTGTTGGCCAGCCAGCTGTAGTCCACGCCGCTCTGCAGCCGCCGGTACTCGTTGTCCCGCTCCCTCTGCTGCCTCTCCGCCTCCTTCAGCTGCCAGTTGAACTCCAGCATCAGGGTGTCGCTGACCACCTCCTCCATGTCCCGCCGGGGGGTCCGGCTGTACGGCTCGTTCCAGCTGAACCAGGAGCTCATGGCCCTCCTGCTGCACAGACCCCTGATGGGAGAGACACAACCACACATTATGAGATTTGACCTCAAATCAAATGACAGAAACAACCAAACTGTATGCTCAAATTATTAATAAAGAGACTTTGTAAAGTGCCTTTTCAGCCCAAAGCTTTTGTCTGTTTACATCTTACAATGTATTTATTTTTCATCTGCATTACTTGCACATTGGTCTTGCAAGCCAATCTTACACTATTCTATTTTCTCTTTCTTTTTGAAGAATATATATTTATTTTGCGTTGTTGGAGGCCTACAGAAGAAGATTGGCTGTTTGTTTTTAAAGTATTGAGTTGACAATTATACATATTGAAAAAGGTTGCACAGTAATTGAACTCTTTGTAACCAATAAAACAAACAATATAAAGTTTCAGCTCTTGCAGTTAAAGGTCCCATGTCATGGCCATTTCTACTGATCATAATTCCATTGTTGAGGTATATTAAAATAGATTTATATTGTGCAATTTTCCAAACTCACATTGGTTTCTCATACAGCATCTCTGTAAAGTATGTGTATTCACTCTCTGTCCTAAACGGCTTGTTGGAGCTCCTGCCCCCCCCCCCCCCCCTCCCTGTGAGCCCAGTGTGCTCTGATTGGTCGGGACGTTGCGAGGCTCGCTGCTCAGTGATCTGGCTTACTGGTGTGGTTTCCGGGTCGGCGATACAGCGGGACAGCGCGAAACTCATCCTGAGCACACACAAACACTCACAGCCGAATAAAAAAAAAAAAAAGTGTGGCTTGATATTGAGTAAGAAAAAGGTTTATAACGCTGTGAGAATGGGTCTGCGGAGAGCATTTCTCTGCGATCCCAACTCGTCTATTACCAACCAGGGAGCTCTATGCAAGTCAATGGGACTCCCTGTTAGTTGAAAATGTACGCTAAAGGTCCCCCCACTGCGTTTGATAGTGACGCCAAGGGTCACTTGGCATTGTGGCATTGGCATTGGTGTGTGAGGAGCTCCGCGGATTGGTCCATTTTGGTTCCGGGAACCGCATGACGTCATGCGGTTCCCGGAAGAAACAAATGGAAAAAGAGAAATGTCCAACGAGGCGTTCTGGGGCAGCATAGAGAGGTCTTTTCTGCGTTAGAGTTTTACTCGCTACAGGGTGTACTTTGAGGGTTTGTGACTCTGCAGACCGTTTACATGCATAAAAACCTTCATAACACACAAGGGGACGGGTAATAACCAGAAAAGCATGACATGGGACCTTTAAGTTGAACTGTTAGAATAAAAGTAATGTTTGAATTATTTGGCATAATTTATATAACGACATCTCAATACTAATTCAGCACCTGGACAACATTTCCAAAAGACAACATACTAGTTCTTTGTTCTGCAGGTGTCTTATCCTCTCCCACACAGACGCTTGTCAATTCAATTTAATAGGCAGTCTTTTGTATGCATTTCTTTTGAACAAAAGTACAAACACACAACAAGAGAGGCCTCTGATGCAGGTGTTGTGAGGCATTTATTCAGAGTAAAAAGAGGTTTCAAAAACGAATCTAAATGTAGACATGACTACAATAAGCACTATAATGATAACCAATTGAAAGAAAACCCATCAGCAACCATTATTCAAACAATCAATGTAATCTATATTCATATCATATGTAAGTAGGCTATATGAGTCTGCTGCACTGTAGTGGGTGTTTTGGTGCTGATTATCATCATGTGAAGAGCCACAGAGTGAGATTAGTCACAGCCTTCACCTGCCTGAGCTGACTAACCCTTCAAAATGGAGTCACACATGCAGCCAATACATCCTTTCAAACAGGTAACACATCAATTAGACTGCCTATTTAAATAATACAATAAATAAACATGATCAATATATGTCTGTCTGTTTTATTGATTGATCTGCCAATTCAATTTTTTCTATGAAACATTCAAGAAAAAAAAAGAACATCCAGCTTCCCCGAGAACAAAACGTGACTCGACTTGTGTAGTCCGACGAACAGTTCAAAAATCTTCCAAAATTATTTGTCTAAAAGCAAGACATCTCAAATTTTAGGACCTTAAACCTTTACATTCGCTCTATTTGGCTTGAAAAAATAGATCTATGAAGTATGAAGGAAATATAATTAATGATCTGTTTATTGATTTAATCCTTGCAACTCTTTTTCTGAGATAGGCGAGATATTTCTCTCTTATGATAACCAGCCTCATTCAAATCAGACATATTTCCTATTAATAATAACAAATAGATCACAAGATTTTAATTTATGTTTAACTTTCTTCCAAATAATATCCCTTTACTGTTCAGCTTTACAACTGATGTTATTCTTACATGGACGGCTGCGTAGTTTTAAAAGATAAAAGCATATGAATATGTCTAAACATCACAGAATCTGGTTTTCGTTTGTTGCCGTTTACTCTGAATGAACACTTTTCTTACCTCTTCTTCTTCTTCTGCTGAAGTTTTTCTTGTGACTCCACAGGAACCAGAATCACTGAAAGACAGAAAAAGAAAAGTCCTCAGACATCAGATGTGTGGCCGGATGCTGAGGAAACAAGAAAGAAAAGCAGAGAGACGAGAAGAGGAATGGTTTCTCTTCTCTCAGTCCCACAGCATTATCTCTCTCTCTCTCTCTCTCTCTCTCTCCCTTCCTCCCTTCTCCCCCCTCCTCCTCCCATGAGCCTCTCTGGCCTGCCTTTACTTGTTGCAGGAGGTTTAGGGCACCATCTCCAACGGGAGCCATTGGATCACTGCCCGTGATGAAGTGCTTATGTGGCTTTTTTACGATTGGACGTTGCCATAGTGATGCTCCTAAGCCTATTTGTCCACAATAAGCTCCATCAGCTGAGAGGGAGCCTGAGAGCGATGAAGAGGCAGATAAAGAGGACACAGTGGGTACAGAGCGCAGGGATGGAAATAAGGGAGATAAATCAAAGTGTGTTGTTTGTTGTGGGCAGCGTAGCTAAGTGGAGAACGTGCTAAATGTGCGAGAGGTCAGCCTGTGTGAATTAACAAAGATAATGAGCCCCACCGGCCCAGAACGGGCGTGCATGAATTATAGGAGGAAATGTGCTAATTGCAGGAGGAAATGTGTGTGTGTGTGTGTGTGTGTGTGTGTGTGTGTGTGTGTGTGTGTGTGTGTGTGTGTGTGTGTGTGTGTGTGTGTGTGTGTGTGTGTGTGATGGAGAAGATTGTGCAGTGGTTGTGTGTAGGAGGATATCATGGTTTGTTGGCTTATTCTGTGTGTGTAGGTGTGAGCAGAGCTTTCCATCTGCTCACATTCACTGTAACCTTGAAATCCTCGTCACACATCCAGCACAACACCACCTTCCTCCTCCTCCTCCTCAGTGTTGTACAGTTAAATAAAATGCTGTCTGAACTATGAACTCTATTAAGTCAGTGCAGAAACACCAACATCCAGCAGTCTACACAGAGAAATGTATGAAGAGCTGCAACTGATTGTTTGTGTTCTCGAGTAAAAGACTGTAGCACTGTTGATATAATGCCTTATAAACAGAAGTATAAATGCATTAGAATCTGCTCATAGTACTGAATAATTATAGCTATAAGCATCCATAGATGTGGATATATCTTATCTATTAAAAAATAATCATAATACATGATCCATCTTTCAGTTATTAACCTTCAAAATGTTGTCAATATCAGTTGTAAACAAATTAATTAATTGCTTTGTGTTGTTTTTATTGTTTCAATTATATTTTTTCACTGTACTTAAAATCTTAAAAATGCCTCTGAGTGACTAGAATCATATTATGATTGCACTAATCGTAAAGCAAATAATTACCATTTAAAATGACTTATAAATCACAATATGATGCATTATAAAAACGATAATATAAAAGCGCTATGCCATTTATAATATATTATGATTCTTGCAAGGAAGACTACAACTTAATGAGCAGCAATTATGAAGTTTTATGATACGTGACCTTATTGGTTTTTTTTTGTAATGCTTTATCAATCAATCAATCAATCAATCAATGTTTATTTATATAGCCCAATATCACAAATGTTACATTTGTCTCAGTGGACTTCACACTTTGTACAGAATATCAGTATGACAATACGACACCCTCTGTCCTTAGACCCTCACATCGTACAAGGAAACACTTCCAGAGAAACCCCACAGTTTAAAGGGGGACATGGGAGAAACCTCAGGGAGAGCAACAGAGGAGGGATCCCTCTCCCAGGACGGACAGACGTGCAATAGATGCCGTGTGTAAATCGAAGAGATAATACATTTTACAACATAGGTAGAACAAATGTTTGGAAATGCATGTGTCTATATAATTTGTTATAACTATTGTTGAAAAGGCATTTTAGAAACTATAATTGTATAGCTATAGGCTGATTTTAATGCCTAATGAGGGTGTCATAGTGTTACCAAATTACATGAAGGTAAAATATTAAACAAACAAATATTAAAATATTAAAGAAAGAAGCACATTATAGTTCAGACAGTACTTACATTAAGTACATGGAAGAAGCTAACACAAGCACAGCAACACTGCTTTTGTTCTGGGTCATAGTGTCATGCTTATAATCTGAATGAATGAATGAATAACCACAGAGAGCGACAGTGAGGCCTGCGGCATGTAAAGGCAGAGTGTCTCATTAATTTGAAGGTGACAGATGGGAAGGTAAGCTCTCCCTATAATCCAGACGGATGACAGCGTTAATCCTCTAAAGTGATTCCCTCCATTAAACACATTTTAACCTCCCGGGCTCTGCTGCTTGTCTGGGAGGTTTTGGGGAGTTCAGAAGTACTGTGAATGGTGGAGAGACACCTGTGTGTGTGACGTATGACGAGAGCTCTGCATGAGTCACACACACACACACACACCAAGTGTGAGTCACACCAGGTGTTGGTGTTGACCCTCTGTGGAGAACCAGACGGAGATTGCTGCATTAGTGGGTTTTCGGTTTGTCATTTAAAAAAAATGACAAACTCTTTCCCTGATAGCCTTAACATGATTGAATCATTGTTTCATAAGATGTTAGAAAAGGTTATGTGTCAAAAGCATTCAAACCAATCAGAAATTGCATAGTTGTATTGGCAAATATGCTAATTTATTTGTAAATGATGAAGCTGTTTAGCTTAGCACAAAGAGGGGGTAGACAGTCAGTGCAGTTTGGATAATACCATAACCCACATTTTGCATTGTTTATGATAAGCTAAACTGCAGGCTGGAGCTTCAAACTTATCCAACATATGTTATTGATCCCACATCTAACAGAGCAAATGCCTAGAATGCTAGTATTTCTTCAAAATGTAATTTGAAGTATGAAATGTTTCATCTAACATTACTATGATATCGCCCTTCCTACCTTTCTTGCCAGATATTTGTTCTGATTAAATTGACTGCTAAACTGTTAAATAGACTGATTTTAGTAAAGCTGTTGTTTCTGTTATCAAATGTCAAGTTGTTTCTGTTATCAAATGTCAAGTTGTTTATGTGCACTAACAGGTGTCTTTATATTGCACCTATGATATGTTTTATGCACAGACAACTCAGAAGCTGATCCTGATGTATAAAGCTTGTAATCTTCAAGTGGAGATCATGACTCGTCGTATATAGACAGTGAGTCAGCGGGGCTCAGGAGGAAGAACAGATTGGTCACATGATCCTAAATGACACCACTAATACTGATGCTAATAACAAACTACATCATGCTCATGGTATGTTGCTGATGATAGTTGAAAACGAATTATGCTAAATATTACTTTTAAAATGTAACAATTACAATTTGGCCTAATAGCTTAAAAAGTAGATAATTTGCAGATAATTCAAGTCATTTCAAGTCAATGTATTTAATTTATAAGATAACACCAAATAATGCTTTTTGTTCCCATCTGTTGCTGGTAAAGAAAATAAAAAAACATGAAATGTCCCCGCTTTTTTTGTTGAAAGTATAACACGTTCAGGTCATTCATTCTTTTATTCACTCACTTCTAATCCCTTCTAGACTAGGTGTCTCTTTAATACATACATAATACAGAAGAATAAATAAACAATACATATTTCTATGCGCTGGACTTCATTTTTGTATTTTATGATGAATTGTAGTCCCAAATGAAACGTTTGACATAGCTAAAAGTAGGTTGTCAGCACTCAAACACACCACTAGAGGGAAGCTTCTCACCATCTGAGCTGCAGAGAAGCTTCATTTGAGCTTTTCCTCTCATTGTTATTTTGTATCTCTGCTGTAAGATCTCAGTTTGTTGGGATAGCATATCATCACAGGTGGTGTTGTACAGTTTTGGGGTGGAGAAAAGGGAGCTCCTGAGAGTGAACCTTTTTGTTTCAAGAAGTCATACTTTACATTCTCCAGATGTAAAAGGTGCCACCACACCTCTTGAACAAATATTAATCCACGAACATGAACACATTCCTCACCGAGCTACCATAACAACAAGGAGCAGAGGGCAGGGGGCTTCAGGAGACTACCTGCCAGAGAAAGTTAGACAAACATGTGCAGTAAAGTGTGGGCTGAACCAGGGATACGCTTCACCTCACATAAACTGTTAGTGCTTGTTGTGCCGCACATTAAAAGACAATTGAGCCATTTGACTCCTTCAGGGAAGAAACCAGCAGTGAAGTGTCAGGACGGACACACACTCCGCTGAATGTAAGCTTTGTTTGAGAGTCAGGCTGCTTCACTGGAGAGCCACACACACACACACACACACACTAACACACACAAAGACATACATCTGTCAGGCTTTTTGCACTCCTCACTGAAGTGAACTGAGCAACAGTCACATGATGTGTTGAGCACAAAACACATAGCCTACAGACAGTGGTGGAGGATCAGTGTGCATTTCAAGATCATTAGATTAAACAAACAACAGGAAATCCCTTGAAACAAGTGTTGGAAAATTGGATTTAAGTAGTGTCCTTGAGAGTTGTACTGTAGTATTTTATGCTACTCAACACTTTGAAATAAGTAATTCTTCCCAATGACCTACTATAACATGTTTGCCCTTCTATCTATCTATATATAAATATACATTAAAAGAGGTCATCATTTGTTTTGTGCAGATGTTAAAAGTGAAAAGAAGGGTTGTGAGGTGTGTGCTAACAAGGGAGTTCCTGTTAACAGCAGGGAAGAAACAGAAGGATACTTAAAATAATAAATGAATTAAAGGTGTTAACAGCTAAATATACCAGCGCATAGAGCTGTTGAACTTTACTCATTGTAGTGTAACTTTACCGTTGTCTAAAGCCTAAACAATTGTTTTCTAATGTCCTGTGCTTCTGTCTTATCTGCTCCAATAGTCACCAAGAATGTCCCCCCTTGCTCAATTTCATTATGCAATCTCAAAGCCTTGACATTTTCTATAACATACGATATGACTGGAGGTTAAATCACCCCGCTGCCCTCCGCTGTGACTAGAGGGAAGGAAGTTCAGGAGAGATCACATGAGTGAAAAAAAAAAAAGAACTTGGATTTGCTGACATCCCTTTTTTCATTGGCCTTTGTCCAGCGTCGCATTTCACTAGAAAAGCCTCTGTGGACTGCGGACTAAGGTCAGGGAATCTGCGCTGGGAGCTAAAACTCTCACAGTGGTCTGAGCTGCTGGATAAGCCGACATAAAGAACAGTTTAGCTCAACAGCAGCCTGAAGGTTTAGCATTCACAGGTTTAAAGTCATTGAAACCATTGAATGCGACTCATTCGAAACCCATGAGTTATGTTTACATCTATAGTAATAATTGTACAATTAGGGAGATCAGCTGATGCCGCTTTTACAACAGGAATGTATAAGATAGGAAATATATTTATGACCTGTGAGTAGGTTGTGTAATGGTTGAAAAAAATTGTAGTAGATCTGTTAAATGTAAAAGATACTAATTTTTGTCTGTTTTTCAGAGTTGAGATGGATATGTGTAACCTTAAAGGGGACCTATCATGCAAAATGCACTTTTGTACGTCTTTTATACATGAATATGTGTCCCCGGTGTTCCAGGGAACTCACCAAGTGTCAGAAAACACAACCCTCTCTATTTTCCTTCATACCCAAATCTCTAAAAAAAAGGGGCTGCAACGGATCTGATCCAGAGGTTGAAGAGAGAGGTTGGAAGATCAATACCATTCTATTATTAGATTAGTTTAGCTTTTAACTCAATTTCCCCTGGTGGATTAATAAAGTTTGTCTTCTGGAAGCAGGGCAGCAGCCTGGCTCTTTACAAAAACAAAATACACAAAACACCCGCACTCTAAAACTCCAGTTAGGAGTAACGTCATGCAACAACTTTTTCAGAAAACGTTTCAACAGCCAAATCGGCCATAACCACAAAATGGAACGCAGAAATGAAATTCTCCATTATAATATTCTCCATTATAAAATGCTCCCCCTGCTTCCTTTACCTGGCTAATGTACATCTCTCATGCACTTCTGTTGATCAGATTGTGCATTGAATGGGACTACATATAATTTGGTAATATAGAGGCATCTACATTAAACTGATACAGTTTAATTTGCAGTTAAAGATCTCTTGTAGTTTATTTAAGCTAAGCTAGTAGCCTACCCACGTTCATATCCAATTGCTTCTGGATCTAGGCCTACTCTTGTCAAGAAAGTTAAAAGATTTTCTTTTTTAACTAATAAGCTACATTAATTAAAGTCATTTTAGTTCCGATCTGAGGGGGGCTGGAGATACCTCTCTGTTATGGGGCATTTCCACCATGGCGCGGAGCGCGGTTTAAGCGTGCCGTGTCGTGCCGGGCCCGTTTTTGGTTGCGCTTCCACTAGGCCTAGTTCCGGCCCGGGGGTACTTTTTCACCTCTTTTCTGGCCCGACAAAATCGTGGTTCTATCGGGGCCAACAAACAGGGCTGAGTTTGCTAAACTAGAGAGAGAATCGCTGGCAAGGGGGCTACAACTACAACAAGATGAACATATTTGACCGTGATTTAATTGTAATACACGTTTCAAAATGATGCCGAAGTAACAACATACTGATACCGGTTAGTAAAAACCATGAATTAATGCTTTGACAAGTCTGCAGACAGACGGCAGGTGAAAAACCTTTTAAAATGCGTGTTTTCTAGATGGAGATTGGCTAAGCTAACGCAATATATGCTCCGACCGTCCACACTCACAACAACGGCCTATACAGACATAAATAAAGCAGCGACTGTATTCACCATGACACAGACAGTCTGTGGTTTGTACTTGTTTAACTTTTGTCTAGTTTCTGAACAGATATGAGGAGCTGTGAGCTTGAGTGCTAACAGCTAACGGCTGTGTTGTTTTTCTGGGGTTCTCATTGAAGATGACGTCACGGCTCCGCCTACACTGCGTTACTATAGTAACTACCCCAGTTCCTAAACTGTAATGGAAGCGCAGCATGAAGTGAGCCGGCCCTAACAAGGCCCAACGCGGCCTAGCAGTACCGAGCGAGGCCAAGGCCGACCGTGTGGTGGAAATGCGCCATTAGTTTCTCACTTTGAGAGACACCTTTCACATTATAATTAAAGGGCACCTATTATGCAAAATCCCCCCACCTTATCACCTGTTTTTTTTAACCAAATATCTCTCAGAGGGGCGTGGGGAGTGGCTCCTTATTTTTCATCTAAAGTAACAGACACAGAATCAGCACTTTTGAAACAGGGCTGAAACAGAGTGGATTATGGGATGCTGCAATGATCTGTTTGGTATTTGGAGCCAAACACTTCAGGGACATGTTTTGTATATATCTGAGACCTATAATATATTGATGAAAAACAGTATAATAGGAGACCTTTAAGACCTAATCAGATCAGCTTGAGGCAACAACATCTCTAAAAACACATGAGGAAGAAGAGTGATGACATATTCTGCGAAAAACATGTTATACACATATTCTCCTACTTTTCCTCTGCTCACCGGGCTGAGTGCAGATCAGCAGCCGGCCTCCAGTCAGACAGAGGGTTTGGCGCAGAGGCCTGAGTCTCTGCCTGTTGGATGGCCATATTGAAGGACCAGATGGCTGCAAATGTGATGTGAAATGAATGAATAAATTCCCTTTTGCCACCTGGAGTTCCCTCTGTGCAGAACGTTATCTGTAAAGCCTGGGAATTGCAAAATGATTGGGACATTGATTAAGTCTGTATTGAGAGTCTGCATGAACATGAACACACTCACTGCTTGTCTGATCTGCAGCACGAATCAATGTTTACTGAACATTTGCTGGAGGATCTTGAGTGTTTTCTCCCAATTGTGACCTCATGACCTACTAAAAAGAGCAGAGCACCAACATTTTGGCACAAAGATAAAATAAATAGTATCCTCTGGGACTTTGTAAGAGGATGACCTATACATTTGAGCTCCAAAGAGTTTGCTGTTACTATGACAAAGTGATTCAAAGCAAAACATGTGGTCTAAACACTGGTGATAAATCAAATCATTGTGGTTATTCTCTTTTCAAAAATAGGTTGGCAATTGAAGTTATATATATTTAAGTTTTTTATTAAAGTGGACCTATCATGCTATTTTTAGGCAATAGCATAGGTCTCAGATATATCAAAAATATATAAAAAACATGTCTATGAATTGTTTTGCTCAAAATACCAAACAGATCACCCATTCTAGCCATGCCTCATATCCCTCTATTTCACTTCCTGTTTCAAAAGTGCTGATTTTGGGTATAAAGCTTTAAAAGAAAAAAGATTGATAAAAAAAAGGAGGGGTCTGAGCTCATGCGGGACCCGGCAGCTACTGTCTAAACTAAATACTGCGGTGATGAAACGCCATATCATGGATTATCAAGGATTATTTCTGAAACAGTATGGAGCTCAAAGGCTTTCTCTTTTGCCGGTTATACCACAAGGTGAGTTCCTTTTTATTTCCTGCTTCTTCACACACATGCTCTCCAGTACAGGTTAGCTCTGAGTGTTAGCGATGCTAATGTAAACATGCACCGACCATATTACGTCCAAAACAGTCGGGCATTGTTTCTGATAGCAACGTTTCTGATAGGGCCGTGGGTGTAAAGCCAGCCTACATTTCCGATATTACGTCATATCGGACGCAAATCTGGATCAGCTCCGTTGTTCCCCCGTTTTTAAAAGATTTGAGTACGGAGGAAAAGAGAGAGGGTTTTATTTTCTGACGCTGCGTGAGTTCCCCGACGCACCGGGGACACATATTTATATATAAAAGACATAAAAAAGTGCATTTTGCATGATAGGTCCCCTTTAAGTTGGGATGCCCTGTAAAAAAGACCCCAGTCCATATGAAGTAAGGGTTCAAATAGTCAAAATGGCCATCACATTCATTCAGCTTGCTAAAACAATCAATTATTCATCAAAATATTCTATGATGATTGATTTAATGTAAAAGATTAGGGAAGTGAGTAAGGTCTGAAAGTGAAATCCCACATGCCTGTATGCAAAAACAGGCTTTAAACACACAACCATTGAACACTGGATCGATTGTAATCCAATTTGGGTCAATCGGGACCCCCCTCCAGCACAATCACAGCACTTGGTAAAGTTTAGTCACACCAACAAATGTTTTTATTTTGACCCATTTTAGTATCATTAGTTCTATATCCATTGATCCATTGTAACATCATTACATCTTTAATTAAATCAAAAAGGGTGTTACCTACTTGTTACTTTACCCAGTGCAATTTAATCTTTAAAAATGTATAATATAAATTGACAAATGGCGATTTTGGCGTACTGCCAACGTCATCTTTTTATTTATGCTCTTACCTAACAAAAGAAAAGTTGTTGTTGTGTCTGAGGTCGCTGTGCTCTTGATGATATCTTTTTTTTTTTTTTTTAAATGGTCTGCAAAGGCTAAAATCCCAAAGAGGGAGTTTCTCTCACACAGACTTCTTCGTTTACTTTTGTAACATAGTGCATCACTATGTAACACTTGCGCTTCTATTGGCTAGCGCTCCAACACATTGTACCTGATAGATTAAAGGGGACCTATCATGCAAAATGCACTTTTGTAAGTCTTTTATACATGAATATGTGTCCCCGGTGTGTCAGGGAACTCACCAAGTGTCAGAAAACACAACCCTCTCTCTTTTCCTCCATACCCAAATCTCTAAAAACGGGGCTGCAACGGAGCTGATACAGATTTGAATTGTTCTGACGTCAGAAACAGGGAGCTCCGCCTATATGGGCAACTCTCCACCTATCAGGGGAATGGGGGGTTGGGCCACGGCCACGGCCATTGCCGCTCAAAAGCGCTGGAGACGCTGTAGTACATATGCCAGGCCTGTAAGTGGCGCTGTAGTCTGCCACAAAAGCAGCGAAGAGGCTTCTCACAGAATCAGCCCTTGCAAAAACAGGGCTGGAAAAGAGCAAATAGAGCGAAATGAGGCATGGCTAAAATGCATGATCTGTTTGGTATTTTGAAAAAAAAACGTCACAGACATGTTTTATATAGGTATGGCCCTACAATATATTATTCAAATATAGCATGATAGGTCCACTTTAAGGGGCGGGACATCTCTAAGCCGTTGATCAATCACAACAGAGCCGGCCAGCTAACCAATCAGAGCAGTATGAGAAAAATAAAGAGCTTTCCGAACATTAAAGCATGGAAACATGTCACAGTAGAGGCACAAAATACAGTTTTATGAAACTGAAAACGAGCATAATAGGGATTCTTTAATGCGGAAGAACATTTTTTTTTTGTGCTTACCCCAGATCTGTGCTTCAACACCATCCTGTCTCCGAGCTCTGCAGCAGCTGTGACCTCATGGCTTAGTTTTTGCTCTGATAAGCGATGTCAGCTGTGAGATCTGTATAGACAGGTGTGTGCCTATCCTAATCATGTGGAATCACTTTAATTGATCACAGCCGGACTCCAATCAAGGTGAAGAAGCAACACCATGATAGAGAGGAAGTAGAGGCACCTGAGATAAATGTCAAGTGTCCTAGCAAACAGTCTTTATAAAGCAATGTGACATTAATAAAACAAGTAATTAAATAACAAACATTAATAAAATCCTGTATTTACTTTGCTATCAGGAGGTATTGAGTAAGGTGTTTAATTAAGTCTGTACATTTGTCACATCACTTTTGATCACCACAACATGAGATTTTCCTTGAGATAATTAGCCTAGACTAAAGGAATCTGCTGTTAGAGGAAAAGTCAGAGGATCATCAAAATCAGGAGTTTTTGTTCAACTGGGAACATTTTTATTTTTATTTTATTAGTTTAGGGGTGTCCACGTCAATAGACCGTAAATGCGCCAGTTAGCCAATATCTATTTTGTATTTATATGCCCTGGATAGCTGTTGTAATGTTCCCTCTAGAAACAACCCAAAAACTAAATACATTTACATTTTAAATAACAAGTTCATACAAGCAGTAAAAACATGCAACATAGAGGCTTTCAATACTGGAAATCTATTTATCTATCCAAATGTTGTTGAGATATTTCAGTCTGGTCCCAAGTGGAGGATTACAGTAATCTACTGAGATGTGTATTCCTACAGCCATGCTGCTAGTATGTCTGTGTAACACGACGCCAAAATGTGGTTTAATCTGGCCAACAACAATCTGTTGGACACAGAGGGCAGGGAGGCATGAGTGTGAGAGACATCTATATCCACATATGTGTGTGTATAATCTTTGTTTGTGTGCGTAGGAGGGGAGTGTATCAAAACAGTGTCTTCCCAACAGTGAGCCTGCTGTTTTCACAGAATGTCTGTTGTCAGAACATACATCCTTGGGATAATGTGTATGTGTGTGTGTGTGTGTGTGTGTGTGTGTGTGTGTGTGTGTGTGTGTGTGTGTGTGTGTGTGCGTGCGTGCGTGCGTGCGTGCGTGTGCGCATGTGTGTGTGTCTGTGTGGGAAGAGATGAGGTATGTGCAACAGCAGCATTTGTTTGTGAACCATAAAAATCTGTGAGCTGGAGGAGGAGGACATCGTCACACACATTGTGTACCAGCCAGAATGAACAGCGTGACGAACGACAAAATGCATCATATCAAGCAAACAAATTAATATTATTAAAGCTTTTTATTTAACAGGTAGTTACTTTGTTTGTACTTTGGGTACTTGGCAGCTTTATATTTTGTTAAAGGGGGCCCGCTTATGCTTTTAGGGGTTTACCCGTCCCTGTATTGTGTTATATACGTTTTTTTTTATGTAAATGTTCTGCAAAGGCTAAAATCCCAAAGTTCCCTCCAGAGGGAGTTTCTCTCCCACACACTCCCCCCCTGCCTAAAACAGCTCCATTGGACTCCTTTGTTTACTTATGCGACAAAGGGACATCACTACGTTACACGGCGGCTTCTATTGGCTGGTGCTCAAACACATTGTACCTAATAGGCTAAGGGGCGGGACATCTCTAAGTGGTTGACAAATCACAAATAAAACACTTTGTGAACATAAAAGCATACATGTCACATGTAGAGGCACAAAAACGCATATGAAAATGAGCATTATAGGGCCCCTTTAAATTGACAAAAGATGCTAAAAAATCCTGATAACATTTAATCAAACTTAAATATTCAACAATGCTGATGATATGTATGTTCCCTGAGTCTTATGGTTGGAACGTGCCGAGCTGCTGCAGTCCTCACATTCAAGTATCTGATAACGGCTGTTAAGACTCATTCATCTTAACTGTATGCATTTTTTGCATAATCAAAGGGAGAGAGTGAGTTCACCTTGCCATTGATCTTCTTCTCTTTCTTGTTAGCAATCTTTTTATCAGTGGGAATTGTTTATTGCCGGTTGAACCAACTTTACTCCATGATCAAAGTCTGCGATGTTGGCGAGGGACAGTACAGTACGGTGAAACATTAACCCTAAGGCTTTTCCCCTCAAACGCCTTCACTCATTCACAGCTCTGAGGAAACAAAAGGTTTGACTTGTCACATGGTTTTAATCACACATGGAGGAAACAAAACGTGATGGAGGAAGACATCTTATACCTACGTTTCACTGTGTGTTTTCTTGTCTATATTATTCAAGTTGCAATACAGTACCTAAGTGCCAAAGTACTCCAGCTTCTCGACAAA